CCCAGCACCTGTGATGTGTCTGAAGTTAGCACCTATGATTTGTCTGATGTCACCCCCCAAATGGAATTCACTTTGCCAATGGCCACTGAGAGTCAGATGTCTGGGGTTGTTTAAGCCACCCCTCCTCCCATCTACCCTGCCCAAGACACAGGAGGTAGCAGGCCTTAACTAATAATTAACAGGCGTGAGGGAGTGAAGACGGGGTTCCCTGAGTCTCCAAGGGGACAGTTCTCCTGTGACTCATTGCCTTCAGTTCTGTCCCAGGTGATTAAGCCAGAGAGCATCTTCTTTGACATCACACCCCATCCCACTTGACCCCTGCTCTTTGCTACTTCCATTTTCTCCATCCCAGGAGCAATATTCCCGAGAACTTTCCAAGTAAATCCCTTTCCCACACATCCTTATCTTAGATTCTGCCTGGAAAACACACTCTAAGGTAAGGTTCAAAGGCAGTCTGGCATTGAAGATTTTCATACAATATTGTGTTTGAGCTGCTATTGCAACCAGATGGGACACATCTTCACTAATTTTATAGTCATTTTAAAAATTGAATGGTTCTATAGTTTCAGTACCTAGAAGACAAATTTTGTTCAAACCCTTTAGCTTGCTTTTTTCATCGTGCATAACTTCTTACAAAGACAAAAAAATCTTTGAATGTGTTAGCAAAATGAAATAAAAGACTGAAAAAAGTTATTTGTAATTGTCCTACAGCTGGGTTCAAAATTAAGTAAGCATTAAAACAGACTTTATCCTTTTTTTCTTTAAAGATCCACTTATTTATGCATAGAAGAACTGGGATAAAGGCCAGAGGTTCAGGGGTTAAGAGGATTCACCAGAGACAGACTGAGGAGCAGAACAGGCAGATGTACTGCTACTGCTAAGGGGAGCAGGGGTGAGACAGGAGAGGTCTGCTGTGCCATGTGGGTCACCTCCCTTGCTGGGGGTTGAACTCAGGTCCCAGGAGTGATAGGGCTGAGACTTAACTCCCTATGTCACCAGGGAGGCCCCCAGACTTTATTCTTGTAATGTTCTCTTTTAAGATCTTTTTATCAAACAACTACACTGGAGTAATTCAAGGAGGGAAATTAGGGGAAGAATTACCCCAGTAGTCTAATTCAACCGTTCACAGACTACATTCTTCCATTGTTTTTGTCATTCATGTGATACAGTTGCAGTTTTATTCAAACACCTGTAGCTCCCCCCCCCCACCTCTATGAAAATGGCCCACATTAAAAACAAAACAAAACAAAACAAAAAGCAGAAGCAAGCAAAGCAACAAAAGCTGGTCAAGGTGTGGAGAAAAAGGAACCCACATGCACTGCAGGGCACAGAGACTGGCCTAGCACTTATGGAAAACAATATGGAGCTTTTCCAAAATATTCAAAATGGGTTTGTCATATGATTTAGTAATCCCACTCCTATGTATTTACCCAAAGAGTGCAAAGGTTTGAATTCAAAGGGCTACGTACACACCCATGTTCTTTGCAGCTCTGTTTTGTCGTAACCCAGTGACCCACCTAAGAGCCCCAAGAAAAGGTGAGTGGACAAAGATGTGGTATGTAGACACCAAGGTGCACTTCTCAGCTAAAAGATGAAATTTTTCCATTTGCAACAATATGGAGGAAACTGGAAGGCTGGTGGAGGGCTTTGTCAAAGGACGAAGAATCACCAGATGACTGAGCTCACATTTAGAACGTAAAGAAATAAAATGAAGGATCAGGTCAAAATAAACCAAAACCAACGCTGTAAATCAGACTGTAGAACTGAAGCCTCTCGAGGGGGAAGGAAGAGGTGGACGCCAAAACAGCAGGCCTGATGGTCTCGGGTAAAGGACAGTGGGTGCTCTGGTGGTCCATGTAAGCCTTTCTGCCAATGTCATATCCAGTGTCTCCTCAATATGATAAAAATAATAAATATAATAAAAATAATTTTAAAATACCTGCATCTCCTGCGTGTTTTCCTTTTAGCTAGTTTCCCATGTAACACCAGCCTGTAGTTGTCATTTTTTTCAAAAAGATTTATTTATTTATGCATACAGAAATGGAGGGCAAGGCAGAGGTGCAGGGGCAGTGAGAGGCTTCACCAGAGACAGAGAGGGGACCAGAACAGGCAGATGGAGGACGTACACTGCTGAGGGGAGCAGCGGGCAGGTCAGGAGAGGTCTGCTGCTCCATGTGGGTCAGCTCCGGGTTTTGGATCGGGATCAAACTTGCACTGAAGCAGCTGAGCTAGCTTGCAGTGCTTCATCCTAACCCTTTGTGCCACTGGGGAGAGCCCTGCAGTTGTCACTTTTAATGGTTAAGCCCAGAAATAAATATACCATAATTTATCATCAACTTGATTGCTTTCAGTATCTTATTTCAAATAATTTTTTTTTAAAAAAAGATTTATTTATTTGTGCATACAGAACTGGGGTACAGGCCAGAGGCTCAGGGATGGTGAGAGGCTTCACCAGAGACAGAGTGGGGAGCAGAACAGGCAGATGGATGAAGTACACTGCTGAGGGGAGCAGCGGGCGGGTCAGGAGAGGTCTGCCACGCCATGTGGTCACCTCCGGGGCAGGAGGGAATTGAACTCATGCGGAAGCAGCTTTAGATTCTCAGTGCTGTGCTTTAACCCGCTGCGCCACCAGGGAGGGCCATTTCAAATAAAATTTTTATAAACAACTTTGTGAATATGCCATTTGGTTTTGCATCTGCCCTTTTCCTTTTAGGTTTGAGCTCTGTCTTTAAGAATAATTTCCAAAACTTGAATTATTAGATAAAAGAATATGGATGGCTTTTGATACTCACTACCACATTCCCCTTTGCACCCATACTCACCAACTAAAATGTGTACTAATTTATAACATAAGCCAACCTTAAACAAAGGTTATTCCAAGTCACGGTGGCTTCTCCTTTTTTAATGAGTTCTGTTCCACTTAAATGCATTCAATTTAAATTTCTCTACTGAGCACAAAGGTCTTGAAACCTTCTCTTGAATTATATTGAACCTATGGCATTCCTCATGAAAATGACCAGGAACCTGAAATTGACATTTCAGTTACCCTTGAATGTAAGTAGTTTCTTCCTGAAGTCCAAGCTTTCTAATTGCTAAGCATTTCAGTTAGGGATTAGTCACTGGGCTTAAGTTGCCTAATTGATTCAATCATTTGAACATGTCACTAACTACAAGTCAGGACATTTCAGTGACTGATGTGGGCTTCCTGACTTGGGTGTGTATTTTGTAAGCATTTCTCCATGCCTGCATCTTCAAAAGAGAGGATAAAGAACAGTGACAAGAAAAACAAGCAAAAAAAGATTCCTGTATTCTTGGTTACCCTAAGGCTTGCTTGAGTTGATCCTAATCTTTAGTATTCTTAATATTAGCCTTAGAAGTGCTGGTCACTGAAACTGATTTCCCAGGATTATTTAAACCTCTGGGAGATCATCTGTCATTAGTGTCAACAACAGCATCGTTTTGTTTTTTTTTTTTAAGATTTATTTTACTTATTTATGCACATTAGAGCAGGAGTATGGGCTGGAGGTGTGTGGGGGCACAGTGAGAGGATTCACCAGAGACAGAGTAGGGGGCAGAACAGGTGGACCTACTGAAATGCACTGCTGAGGGGTGCAGCAGGTGAGACAGGAGTGGTCTGCTGTGCCCTATGTGGGTCAGTTCCCTGGCCAGGGATGGAAATCATGCTGCTGCAGTGGCTGCTGACAGCTTCACAGTGCTGACACCCAATCCCGTTGAGCCACAGGGAAGCCCCGGCTTTTTTTTTTTTTTTTTTTTACATGCTAAATTGTCCTTTCTTCTTTTAGGCAAGTGGTAAAATGCAAAAAAATAATTTAGGTTTATCCTGAAATCCTGCATACTTGCTACTACACTGAGAATAGAAGGATTTAGACTATTGTGATAGCTTTTCACCAAGTGCATGTTTGTTAGAGGACTCTCACAAAAAGATGGAAATCACAGTCTTCAATTGCATGTCAGGTAGATAAACTTACCATTGATCAAATGAATCTTCTACTTTTGATTTGTTTCAGGTAGCACTTCAAGACTCCAGGTAGTGATTAGTCGCATTGCATTTTATGAAAGAATTTTGTGTTAGGGTTAGAATCAAGAAAATCGACATGTCACTTTAGAGTTCATTCCTCAGTGAATTCAGGAAACCCCTGATTTGCTTCCACCCACACCTCATATTCATCCTCATGGCAGAGGGTTCTGGCCCCTGGGAGTTTGGGGTGGGGGTGTATAGGGGCGTGGTGACCTCCAGACAAATGATTCTGCAGCTGTTGTCTTATTATGGTGGGACTCCCTGAATTAGGATAATGCTGGGTAATCCTAATTAATGCCTTATCCAAGTTCAGACTTCACAACCAAACCAACCAGTTTTACGACCCAAGGTATTGAATTTGGCCTCACACTTGCAGCAGGGAGGGGGAAAGAAACACAAAAGAAGAGAAAAGCTGGCATCTCAGCTAACCAGCAACAGCCGCCCGGACACACTGCCAGCTTGATCCAATTAAGAAATGTTAGCGGTTTGATGACAGATTTATAGACAAAAGGTTCAGATGAGCCATAGGTTCTTGACAGCAGCCGGCAAACCCTAAACTCAGAGTAAAATTCTGTTTAAGCCTAAAGAAACCCATGGGACTTTTCTGGACACAACGAAATACATGAAATACCACAGGTTTGCTTATTAATATCTATCCTGGGAAATTAACAGAATCCTTGCTCCGGAGCCCCGCAGAGACCCCATTTCTCACCGCCAGCCCCCTCCAGTGCTCAACCGGAGCAAAGCAAACCAAAACAATGTGAAAACCACTTGGTGGTGTGCTTTCATTTACTCCATGCCAAGGATTTTATTTTTAAATGACAATTTGTTACAGGAAAAGGAGAGGAGCACCCCAAAACCCCCAAACCTGCCCATTCTAAACAATTTGAAAAAGTCCCGCTAAAGCAAAGCAAAGTACCAGATCCTTCTTTGGGTGAGAAGCACAGTGCCGTCCGCTTACCTGTGACCAGCACCGCCTTTTGATCCACAGGTAACAACTCTTGGCCAGAGAAGAAAGTGCACATGAGGAAACAGGACAGGGAGAAGATGATCGAGCCCCAGAAGAGGGACAGGCTGAGTAGACAAGCCCCTCCCCACAGGCCTGCCAGGCAGACCACCTTTCTCCCCCCCTGTCCTGGGCTCTTCTTGAGTTTGCAAAGAATTGTTCCTCCCATAGCTGCAGTGACAGCCAGGCAAAGCCATAAAGTGCTCATTCTCGGAGAGTCCCCACACCTTTGTGAGCTCAGGGCCAGCAAGTGCAGTGGGTAAAGGCAGGCTGGAGGCAGCCTGGGTTTTATGAACGGAGAGCTGCAAAAAGCGGGCGGGGGGGAAGCCACCCAGGCGCACTTTGAATGAGCCTGGATTAAGCTCATGCATGCATGCATATTTCCTGGTGGATAATTTAAATTGGGTGTGCACTTTGCTATAAATACCAGAGCACTTGCTATTCTATTGCTCCCCCTTATGCCCCCAGCACGCACAACAGATATGTACATACTCACCCGCAATGCACACGTACACACATTATTTTTTTTAATGACAGCTCCACCTCTAGAGAGATAACTAGTTGGATAATATTTGACAGAATCCAATCTGAATGGTAAATGATAAAAACTGTAGCTCTCAGACCCAGAGAGGGAGAGGAAAAGAGAGAGAGCTAGGAAATCCAGGCAACCAGTAGGCAGTAAGATTTGGAAAATCTGCTCTGGAAGGGGAAGGAGTGTCTCATTGTGTCCATGGCCACAGGACTGCAGCTACCCTCACCTGAGTCAAGCAGAAGTGTTAAATGGAGGGAATATAGAACTATAGGAAGAGTTTCTCGGCAGAGGTAAAGTACTTTTGGTCTTGCCTGAGGGGAAATAAACCAGGGAGAAATAATAACGATAATACAACTAATACTGACCTGTATCTATTGGTGCCAGGAGCCATGTCCAGCTACTTGTCCGTTCATCCTATTTATTGATACCTTATGCTCTGCCAACCTCTGTTCCAGGCACTGGGACTCAGCAGGTAATATGCTCAATTTCTTTGATTACAACATCCTTTTGAAGTAGATTCTGGTGTCATTTTTGTGCAGGGTCCTTGGGTTCACTCTGAGAAATGTTTCACCAGAACTCCCCTTTCAGCAGCATGCGGTGAGTTACTCCACAAGACAGAGACTCAGTTATATTTAGAGAACAGGTTTATTAGGGGAAATGACAGAGGAGTAAAGGACACTTGCATAGGCACAAGTAGGCAGGCAAGGTGCCCCAACAGGTTTGCTAAGAGGGGCCTGCATGGCTGCAGGTGGGTGGCCTTAGGCGAGGGGCCTCCGCTGAGGGAGGTCAGTGCACAGAAGTCCAGGCAGATACAGGTCAGTGCAGAGAAGTCCGGGCAGATACAGGTCGCAGGCAGGCAGGTGGTTGTTGCCCTGCAGAGGGAGAGAGCTGGTGGGAAGAAGCACCTGCATAGGCACAGGGGGGCAGAGGACTGCTGCCCTGAGCCAGTGCAGAGACTGCCCTGATACTGTCTTTTTCTCTTGGAGAGGGGCTCATTCCTTTGTGGACTGATCACTGCTGATTTTGGAGAACTATGTGGAATCACACAATGGACCCAATCTCTGTATCTTTACCCTCAGGTCTGTTCTTCTGATATTCCCTACAGCAGTCTGATATAGGAGTCTCTGTGACTGGGTTAATTGTCATGTTTGTTCCTTCTGCCCCCACCTCCCTGCATGAATCAGATTCCAACCTTGTGATGCCTCCCTCAGGTTTTCTACTCTTCTTCTCCATCAGTTCTATTATTATTATAGTAATTTCACAGGTGAGGACACTGAGGCACAGAGACATTAACACTCATCCAAGATCACACAGCAGTGGAGTCCTGCAGTTGTGTTTTAGAGCTTTATGTTCTTAATCACTCTACTCTGCTACCTGCTTTAGGCAAAAAATAAGAGACAACCAGTACTTATGAATTAGCCCTTCCTTATTTAACCTTTGTACCTCTGGAGACATAACAAATACAAAGTATTTGAAGTACTTATGGCTCTTATTTTACAGGGAGGAAAGCAGAGATGGGCGAGGGTAAGTCACTTATAAAAGTTGTGGATCTGGACACACATGCCAGTACCTGGCTGCAGAATTCCAATAAAGGTTGAGTGCTTGCTCCTCTGGAGAGAGAAGAAAAGATTTTGCTTTGAGGTTGGGTCACTTGTATTCAAGTCTAATTCTGCTTCTTACTAAGTCAGTAGCTTTGTGTCATTGATACCATCTTCCTAGAGTTCTGTCCCCTCAACAGTAAAATAATAAAAATACCAATGTAAACTACTTGGCACCTACTGCATGGTAAATGCTGGCAAATCATGTTTTTTAAACAGGAAAGGGAAAAGGAGAGCAGTAAAATCTAGTGCTTCATGAAGTATGGACTTGTTCCAAAACATGGTTGGAGTTAGCACATGCAGAGAGACAGGGAGCAGGAAGGAAGAGGACACTGATAGTGGGTAATATGGACAAGGCTGAACTTGGAAGGAAATGTACCCAGCAGCCAATAGTGTGGGAAGGAGGCTAGAGCTTAGGACTGGGAACTGGGAACTGGCTGCTGGCCTTAGAGGAGCCCTAGGTGAACTCCTGCTCTCAAGCACCTCAGCGATAAGAGGTTGCAGACCGAGGACTTTGGGCTATCTCAAGACCTGAGGGAGATCAAGTACTAGTAAGTGTGACTTGTGCTTCATAGAGAACCAATATAGGGTCTCATGTGGGATGGTATCACCTCTTGCATGCCCTCCCAGTCTCATCATGGACAAGGAGGTAAGAAGTGCTACTGGCCCTCAGCCTAGATGCTTTAGAGTAAGGACCTGAAGTTGTCTTTGGCTAGCCCTGGGATCCCTACCCTCCATAAACCTCCATTCCGCCTGTCAGCCACTTCATCACAGATCAGAACCACAACCTTGGTGGGCCTCCTTCACCAGCCATGATTCAGAGCTGCCGGCTCTGATGTCTGATGGCTTTCGAGGTGAGGATGAAGTATAATTTGACAATTTGCTGTAGGCTTCACCCTTTGTCAGGAGTCCCCACACTGGAGCCTTGATGGAGTGCATCTTCTGGTGGCAACCCACATGGTCCCCCAGCAGCTCCATCCAGGACCCCCAAGGAGAGCACAAAAGCATCTAGGCCATGGGCAACTAGATGAGAATGCTCCTTTCCCCAAGAGTGAAAGGATCACACACTATTAACCTGAGTGGCAGAGTCTGGGGCACTGAGTTCGAATCCTGTCTCTTATTTACCAGCTGTGAGGCATTGGCAGTCACCTGCTCTTCTTGAGACACAATTTCCTCTTCTGAAGAGACTCAGCATCCTGTGTTGCTGTCACAGGACTGGCATCCTTTTCCCATCATGCCTCACACCCACAGGTACTGGAGATGATAGTCTCTCATCCTAGTAGAAAGCTCCCCTACTCTTAGGTCCTCCTCTCCCTAGACATCCTCCTTCCCCCCCCCATTCATTTCTTCAGTTCTTCACTCAGTTTATCACATGCCTCTTCCCCTTGTGTCTCCTGACATGTCACTTCCTTAGCACCCAACTTCATCATCTTCCATCCCACACCTTACTCATTCCCGGCTCTGCACTCAGCTTGAATCTGCACTTAACTTGGTTATTTTAAAAGATTTTATTGTCTCTCCTATAACACCATGAACTTCAGGAGGTCAAGTGTCGTAATGTTTTGTTTGTTCTTTCGTTTTGGTTTTCACTAGCTGCGCTCCCGTGTCTAGCCTAATCCCCAGCATATTAAGCATACTTAATTAATATTCATTGAGTGGTGCTGAAAGGACCAGGTCCTTGGCATGTTCTGCATTGGATGCCAGTGTTCAGCAGTGAGTATGTGGGCCAGTTCCTGACTGGGGAAGCTTCGGGAGTTGCAGCAACTAATAGAGGTGAATAGTGGTGGAAAGAAGGATATCCCAGTGGGGAACACCAATATGGAGTTAGAGATGAGGATTAACCCAACCCCTCCTCATCCCTGAGGCTTTGTTCTGCTCTTTGAGGAGAGAGGGGTCTAGTTGCACTACCTGGCCACTGAATGAGGATTTCACTCATCTGTGCTGAACTGTGTCCCTTTTGGGACCTTGTCATTTGTCCTACACTCTCCTTGAGCCCATAATGAACCCATTCCCAACAAGAGGCTCTTAACTTTGCAAGAAGCCAACTGGATCAGCCCATTCTTGCTAATGATGCCAATGGGTCAACGTATTTCCTTCTACCAGCCAAGCTGCCTTTTAGAAGGCACCTCTGAAGACAAGATATCTTACCCCAAAGAGACTTACAAACCTGGACCCAGGTGGTGAGAATGCCAGAACAAATGACTTCATAACCACAAATATCTTTTGGGGGGGGAGGTTTGAAGTAGTTTTCTAACTGAAACAAGAATTCTCTCTGTAACATCCCCAGCAAGTGGTCATCTTATCTATTGCCAGTATAGCTCTGCTAACAAGCCCTTCCAGGCCTCTGAAGATGGGCTTTCTAGTTCAAGACAGCTCAGAGTATTCAGAATTTCTTCTCTATGCTGAGTGAGATGGTGGTTTTTATCCTTCATTTCTCACTTGAAACCACAGAGACCACTTCCAGTTCCTATTTTTTTAAATAACTGATATCTCTGGGATGATGGTCCTCGAGTTCTGCCAATCACCTTCTATACAGTAGAATGTAATGTATCTGGTGCAAGAGCCATGTCTAAAGGAGCCACATTTTTAAGAGTTACAATATTAAAACAAAAACAAACCTTTGTTGCAATAAATCAATAAAGACTGGGTTGTTATGGGGAGTGTTGGATGGTATTGACATGGTGGATCAAGTATGTACTAATGTCACAGTGACATCAGCAGCTCTGGATATGACAGTCATGAAAGGTCATCTCCCAGACATCAGGGCGGTCTTGCTGGTAGCAAGTTGTGCTTTTCAAGCTTTTAGTCATGATAATATTTAAGTGTGGAAATACAATGTATATCTCATTGTTTATTTCAGACAGCAGGAAGAAAAAAGGCCTGGAAAAGAGATCTAGAGTTTTGAGCTTGGAGTAAATCTTTTCTTTGTCTATTATTGAGACATTATGGGGTAAACTGTCTAAACTGCCGGAACAGTTGTCATTAATTCCAAATGGGTCAGATCTTTTAACTTTTGAATAAGGTTTTGAGGATCCTTAGCTGTCTCAGAATGGGATCCAATCACTTTGGACCAAATAG